GATCAGAGCTGGGAATGCTAGGTGCCCTAAAGATGAGCGGGGCCTAGTGGGGTCCCCAAGACATAGGGAGCTGACCTGGGCCCCTTGGTTCCTGTGCAGGAGCCACATTTGATGTTGCCATGCGCTTCCTGTATGAGTGCCCCTGGCGGCGGTTGCAGGAACTCCGGGAGCTCATCCCCAACATCCCGTTCCAGATGCTGCTTCGTGGGGCCAACGCTGTGGGCTACACCAACTACCCTGACAATGTGGTCTTCAAGTGAGAGGGGGAAGGAGGAAGGGGGCAGTGTAGGGTGTGACCCAGTGGGTGCCAGGCTTGTTGTGATGGCCTGTACTCCCCACAGCAGGCTGGAAAAGAAGTCCTTCTGTGGTGACACCTAGCAGGGGCTGCTGTTTGGAAATGTTAGTAAGCGTAGCTTTGTAGCTGCAGAACCAGATACTTCCAGATCACTTCATTTCACTGGTGGGGCCGTGGAGGCCCTCAGAGGCAGATGACTTGTCGTAGGCCCCTAAGTATAGAGCTGGGATTGAGTCCCAGGCCTCAGGACTCCTCATTCAGTGCTCCCTGTAGTGCCACTCCAGCTGGCCCCTGGCCTGGCAGACCACTAACTATGCTGCCCTGGGCCCCTGGGCAAGGGCTTGTCCATGTCTCTGTGCCCAGCCTTACTTTGCCTGTGGGTGCCACACAGAGGCCAGGTCCCCAGGCCACATTGCCGTGGGCAGTGGGTGGAACTCAGCCCTGGGCTGTCCCACCCACTCAGGTTCTGTGAAGTGGCCAAAGAGAATGGCATGGACATCTTCCGGATTTTCGACTCTCTCAACTACTTGCCCAACATGCTGCTGGGCATGGAAGCAGCTGGCAGTGCAGGAGGCGTGGTGGAGGCCGCCATCTCCTACACGGGGGATGTGGCAGACCCCAGCCGCACCAAGTACTCATTGCAGTACTACATGGGCTTGGCAGAAGAGCTGGTGCGAGCCGGCACCCACATCCTGTGCATCAAGGTGCCAGGGCCTTTGCCTGCCCCTGCCCCTGCCCCATCCCTGCCACAGGCCAGGATCATGCTCCTCTTCACCATCTTCTCTCTCCCTGTCCCCTCAGGACATGGCAGGGCTGCTAAAGCCAGCAGCCTGCACCATGCTGGTCAGCTCCCTCCGGGACCGCTTCCCCGACCTGCCACTGCACATCCACACCCATGACACATCAGGAGCAGGCGTGGCAGCCATGCTGGCCTGTGCCCAGGCTGGGGCTGATGTAGTGGATGTGGCAGCTGACTCTATGTCCGGGATGACCTCACAACCCAGCATGGGGGCGCTGGTGGCCTGTACCCGAGGGACTCCCCTAGATACAGGTAGGGAAGACAGCAGTCCATAGCTGTGTCCCTCTCAAAGCTGCAACACTCTCAGTGCCCTTGGTCAGCCTCAGCTAGAATCCAAACGCCCCACTCTGGCTTCACTACCTCCTGTAACCTTAGGCTTTGGTGGGGCCAGAGGTAGCCCCGGGTGTGGGAGGAGACCCTCTGACCCTGGCCTCCCTGCAGAGGTGCCCCTGGAGCGTGTGTTTGACTACAGCGAGTACTGGGAGGGGACTCGGGGACTGTACGCAGCATTTGACTGCACGGCCACCATGAAGTCTGGCAACTCGGACGTGTATGAGAATGAGATCCCAGGGGGCCAGTACACCAACCTGCATTTCCAGGCCCACAGCATGGGGCTTGGCTCCAAGTTCAAGGAGGTCAAGAAGGCATATGTGGAGGCCAACCAGATGCTGGGTGACCTCATCAAGGTGAGTCAACCCCATCTCTCACCTGATACACAGACCCGTCTGCTCCTGCTTTGGGGCATCCTAACTTCCAGGGGCGCCTCCTCAGGTGACACCCTCCTCCAAGATTGTGGGGGACCTGGCCCAGTTTATGGTGCAGAATGGGCTGAGCCGGGCAGAAGCTGAAGCTCAGGCAGAAGAGCTGTCCTTCCCTCGGTCTGTGGTGGAGTTCCTGCAGGGCTACATCGGAGTCCCCCATGGGGGGTTCCCTGAGCCCCTGCGTTCCAAGGTAAGAAAGGCCCAGCATAATGGGAGGTGGGGTCTAAGTACAGCAATCAGGCCTGACCCTCTGCTTTGCTCCCCAGGTGCTAAAGGACTTGCCGAGGGTAGAGGGGCGGCCCGGAGCCTCTCTCCCACCCCTTGATCTGCAGGCGCTTGAGAAGGAGCTGATAGACCGGCATGGGGAGGAGGTGACCCCAGAGGATGTACTCTCGGCAGCCATGTACCCTGATGTCTTTGTCCACTTCAAGGACTTCACTGCCACCTTTGGACCCCTGGATAGCCTCAATACTCGCCTCTTCCTGCAGGGACCCAAGATTGCAGAGGAGTTTGAGGTCAGTGGCTCTGGTGCTTGTCCACACTCCTCCCCAACACGCTTGGCCCAGAGTGCCAGACTTTGGCTTGGCTTTCTCCAGTCTCGCAAGCTTTGGGAGGGGAAAGGACCCTTGAGACCAGAAATTAGGCCTTCACAAGATAAGGACCAAAATGCAGCGTGGGGAACTGCCCTGTGGGCCAGGGTCAGAGGCCTATTCTCTCCACAGCTGACCCCAGCTCTGTGCCTCCACACCCTTCCTCCAGGTGGAGCTGGAGCGGGGCAAAACGCTGCACATCAAAGCCCTGGCTGTGAGTGACCTGAACCGGGCTGGCCAGAGGCAGGTCTTCTTTGAGCTCAATGGGCAGCTGCGGTCCATCCTGGTCAAGGACACCCAAGCCATGAAGGTACGCCTCCCCCAGGGTCAGCCAGGTGGTAGGGATGGGGTGGGCTGTGTCTCATGCCTGCTTTGCCTGTCTGCAGGAGATGCACTTCCACCCCAAGGCCCTGAAGGATGTGAAGGGCCAGATTGGGGCACCCATGCCTGGGAAGGTGATAGACATCAAGGTGGCAGAAGGAGCCAAGGTGACCAAGGGCCAGCCCCTATGTGTGCTCAGTGCCATGAAGATGGAGACTGTAGTGACCTCACCCATGGAGGGCACTGTCCGCAAGGTCCATGTGACCAAAGACATGACACTGGAAGGTGACGACCTCATCCTGGAGATTGAGTGATCTTGCCCCAGACTGGCAGCCTGGCCACCCTCACCCTAAAGCCTTCAATAGAAGCTGTGCTGCCAGGGCAGGCCCAGGCCAGCCAGTGCCTGAGGGGAGGAGGGCCTGGCTCTGGAGGCCATCCTTAGCTGGATGGAGAGAAACCGCTTGCAGTGGCCCATTCCCTTCAGTCATCTGTCCATTCCCTACAGGTGGATAGTTGCTGTCCTATTCATCTCTTGCCAAATAATGGTCCTCTCCTCCTTGGAGACTACAGCAGTGGGCCCTGAAGTCTGGGGGAGTTGTAAAGGTTCTGCCTCCTGGAGCGGGAGCAGAGTTCTAAGTCCCCAGTCCAGGAACACTTGCTCAATAAAACTGGCTTTCCCTTTCCTTCCACGTGGGGTCCTATGCCACTCCCTCCCCAGTGCTGCCCCCAGCCCTGCCATGTAGCAACCAGGGCAGGGCTGCCTGTCAGACCAGACCCCACGTGGGTGGGGGGTGGGTTACAGCTTCCACTTCAGAAAGTAGCAAAGGTGTCCAATGGGGCCTATTGAGTGCACACACAGGACTGCCTACTCCTGTGCTTGCTTGGGAGACTGGGGCTATTCTGTGTTAACGCATAATCAGCCTTTATCTACCTTCCCCCTGAAATCAGGTTGCATGAAGGTTAAATAATTTTTCCGGGACTCCATAGCTATGAAAGGGCATAAAGGGCTAAAGCCTAGGCTGTTAGACTTGCTTTATAGCCTCACTGCTTAGTTTTCTAAAACCCAGGGCCCTGGGTAACAGAGACCTGTTTGTCAAAAATAAAGACCAAGGGCCAACTGCAAACAGTATCCCCTTCTGGTCAGTGGGTAAAGCCCTCAGGAAAGGTGATGTGGCAATGGCAGAGGTTACTGCAAGCACCCTGGCCATGAGTGCTAGGAGGTCAGGAGCACTGGATCCAGAATCCCAGGTTGTGACCTTGCCCATCCTAAGCCTCAGCTCCCTTTCCACCAGGGGGACAGTGCCTACACCACTACCCTCCTCCCCACAGGCAGGGTGAAGTGAGGAAAAGGCAGGGCAGAGGCACCGGCAGGCCCTAAGCAAGGGCTGCGGAGAGGGGAGCAGAGCCCAGATCCCCACACCCACTGAGCCTGTTTGTGCCATGCTGTACAGGCATAGTGCCTGATGTCTAGGGTGGCAAGTCACAGTGGGCCCAGACCTTGTCTTCTCTGGACCTTAAGATCTCAAATGTATCCCAGCAACATAGGCCTGTGCTCACCCCTCTGCCTCCAACAGCTACTGTGGGCTGGGGAAGAGGAAAGGTCTCTAGGGAGGGAGGCAGGCATGCGATGCGGCCCTTCAGATCCACATGAAAGTGCCTTTGTCACAGACAACCCAGAGGCAACCCTGGGAGTGACTGACTGTCAACCACTGGCCTCAGGAAAGAGGACTTGGAACAACCTTGAGTCTGGAATGGGACCTAAAAAGATAAAACTTTCAAGAATCACTTTCTTTTTGTAAAGCCCAGAGTTGTGGAATGAGAACTGTTCTAAAAATGAAATAAGGCTGGGTGCAGTGGCTCACACCTGTAATCCCAGCACTCTGGGAGACTGAGGTGGGCGAATCACGTGATCTCATGGGTTCAAGACCAACCTCAGCAAGAGTGAAACCCCATCTCTAAAAATGAACCTAGAGGTCCCAGTGTGAGGGCCTGGTGAGGGCCTATCTTCTACTCTGCAGAGGACATAAGCAGGAAGTTCCTCCCACTGGGTTCACACCTGGTGAGCCCATCCCAGCTAGGACTTGGGTCTGCTCAGGAGGAGGACTTAAGTTACAAGCCCATGGCAGGCAGAGGTCCATGTTCAAGGCAGCTGAGACAGGTGGTAGGCACAATCTCAAGAGCTTCCTGGAGTCCTCACACAAGACCCCAAGTAGACTTATGCCCCAAGAGCCAAGGCCGTGTTAGCCAAGTTAAATCTCTTTAATATCCCAATACAAAGTCCTGATGCAAAAAGACAACGAGAAAACCCTGGAAAGTTGTGGGGGAGGGGCTTTATAAATAACCCCCCACCTCCACCCCGAGCAGCTTTTCAGAGGCAGAGGGGGGCAGAGGAGCTAAGAGAAGCAGCAGTCCAAAGTAAGGAAGGGCATGCGTCCCTCCTGGAACCTGCCCCTTGTCCCCTCAACCCCCTTTTGAAAGGGGCGGCACCCTTTGGATATCTGCTCCTTTCTCTGGTCCCTGGGATTCAACTAGCTCTGGCTTCAATCCCCTACAAAAATTCCTGAGATCTCGGGGACCCCAGCCAGCAACTCCCCTTCAGTACCCCTTAATGGGGAGGGGCTGGGGGGCCCATGAGAGTTCATAGGAGTGTATGCAGAAGCATAGGTCAAGAGCACAGGGGAGCCTTTGAGTGTCCTGCCCGCTCCAAAAGTACACAAAGGGGAAGACTGCCGTAGAGCTTGGGGTCCGTGAGTGGCTGGAGCAGAAGCAGGAAGAGCCCCACGCCCAGGGCATAGCCCGCCAGCAGGGGCCACCTCTGTGGGTGCTCCAGGGCCGCACACACAGCAGGGAAGCCCATGTAATTGCAGAAGGAGTGGCAGAGAACCGGCCCAATCAGGTGTCCTGGGGAGGGAGACAGCAGCTCACAGAGCAGCACTACCTCGTCCTCTGACCTTTGCAGGGCTAGTGACCCCTTCTTCCCTGAAATAGGAGATCAGCACCCACCCTACCACACCCATCCATCCTCCCACGCTCCATGGTCTCTGCTGCTTCCCACCTTTAAGACTTCACCAGTCCTTGAGGGCCCTGGCTCAGCCTATCTCAAGGACTATGATAGAAGTTGTCACTCTTAGCATAAACACAGTACTCCCATTCTCCCATCCATTCTTGTGGGCCCCTGAGCCCCTGGGGGACCCATGAGAAACTGAGGACCAACCTGTGCGGATGAAGAGGAAAGCAGTGTAGGCACCGAAGACGGCTGTGTAGGAGAACTGGAACACTGGAGACGGGAGGCCACGAGTGACCACACCTGTCCACCCTTCCTGCCCCAGCACTGCATACCCGTCAGCCAGAGACCATCCCCTTCCCCCAGGGCAGTGGCTGCCTGCTCCACCACCTACAGTTGTCCTCTGTACCCCAATTCCCATGGTTAGTGGCCCTCTGATACCACAGCCCTCTCTTCCCAAGTCTTTCTCCAGAGCGTCTGTCAGAGACATCTACATACACATCAGAACCCAGACTGCCCCAAGCAAGTTCTCTAAGACTCACCTGCAGATAAGAAGATGCTCCCTACACTGCTCTGGCGGAAACGCAGCTGTTCAATTATGTGGTGAAAATGGGCTGGGAGGAAAGTGAGGACCATGTCACATACCTCCCGACCTTCCCTCTACACTTGCTCTTGCCCCAAGCCCCATTCTCAGCTTTCATGTTGAGAACACCTTTGCAGGACCAAGTTGGCCAGACTCACCAACTCCAAAGAAGAGTGGGCAGGTGAACACAGCAGGGCCCAAGCCTGTGCACGGTGCTAACATGGGCAACATGCAGGCCCGGAACACTAGCTCTTCTGTCAGGGGCGCAATCACTTGGTTCCGCAGCCAACGCATATCTGTGAGGCAGCGGGCCCAGGAGCGAGGTGCTAGAAAGGGATTCAGGACAAGCAATGAGTGACTAGCTAAGGAAAATGAGACCCCAGAGGCCCTAAGGACCCTTCTCCCACAATTTTACCCTGGTCAAATTCTGCCATCAACATTCTTGAGACAGGGGGTTAGTGGGGGGGGCACAGGGGACAGTTCACCAGACCCAACATAAATACTTTTTTTTTTAAGAGACGGGTCTCTCTCCTGGCCTCAAGTGATCCTCCTGCCTCAGCCTCCTGAGTTGCTGGAATTACTGATGTGAGCCACTGCACCTGGCCACAAAACAATGTCTTAAAATAAATGAAGGGATGGGATTAGTAGCTGAGAAAAGGTATCCTGGTAGTAAACAGACATCAAAATTTAACTGAGACCAGATGTGGTTTGGGGAAGCAAGTGACAATGCTTTCTGGTCCACACCAAGTAATTCTGGGGGTTCCCAGGGGCGACTTTGGACATCAGGCACCAACTCTTAGAGGCCACTTGGCTCTTTGTTCCCATTTTACTAATGAAGAAACATACCCAGAGATGACAGTTTGCCTCAAGTCCACATTTCACCACAAACCCAATGATTCCCTTTCCCCATTGTCCAGACTACCTGTGCCTACTTTCCCCCTCAGCTTGAAGGACTCACCCAGGACTATCTTCAGCCCATCTGCTAGATCACAGGGACAATCCATAGAGAGCTGCATCAATGGGCCCAGGAAAAGAATCTGGAGGCAGAAAAACAGGAGATCAAAGAAAAGACTTTCATTATAATCCACTGCACCTGCCCAACTTTGCAAGACCAGCTTCCCATTCCCATTGAGAATTTCTAACCTAAGGATACCCGAGGGCCCCGGGGCCATCTCGCAATTCCTGTCTCCCATCAGCTGGAAACCAGACACATCAAGATAAAAGGTCACAGATGGCCATGATACTGACAAGAAAAACCAGAGGACAAAATGGGAGCACTCACCATGGTCAGCAGCAGAGGCAGCAGTGCTGCCGGGAAAATGCCCTCCAGCCTGAAGCCCATCAGGGTGAGCAGGGATGTGCCTGGCTGAGCCACAGGAAAGGAGGCATCAGTCTCGCTCCCTTCCCCAAAAGTCCCGCGCTCTCTCCCGTTACCCTGCCTGCCTCCTTCGCACCTGGATGCCTGTGAGTTCCCGCCAGAGCAACACGCAGAGGGGCGAGAGACTGGACACCACTAGTACGCTGGTGAAGCGCCGCTTGATGACGGCGGGGTGGTCCCTACGGAAAGGGCAGTAAGTCGGGGGGACGCGCAACCGCCTGTCAATGCGGCCCTGCCCCCGGCTCGCCCAAGCTCCGCCCCAGCCCCGCCTCACGGGCCGCGGGATCCAGCCGCGCGCACCGTCCCCGCACCTGGGCAGCTCGCTCTTCCAGACGTACAGGCTGCCCACATAGGAGCAGGCGAGGCTGAGGCAGGAGAATACAGATACCCAGCAGCACAGCCCGGGGCCCGGGCCACCCAGCGTCGCTGACTCGGACTGCCGCTCCGGCCGAGACACCGACAGCAGGCGCAGCCCGTCCCCGCCCAACGCCGCCATTGCGCCCGGACCCGCGGCGCGCACTAGTGACGCACCTAGCGTTAGCGAAGGTGACGTCAGGCGGCGCGCGGTCGCGCCCCGCCCCCACGGCCCGCCCCCGACACGACAGCAGACGCTACGGCTTGGACCTAACAGCTTTATTAAATCTGGGGCTACAGCGGCCGCCTGTGGCCTCCAAGTCGGAGGGTACTCGGGACGGGGCTCGGCTCAGGGCCTGGGGCTAGGACTCAGCCACTCGGACAGGTTGGAGACCTCCTGCAGCCACAGCGCGTCCTGCGGGTGCAGAGCGGTCACGGGGTGAGGACTGCGGGCTGCGCCCCCAGCGCCGGTCACCTGCAGGCGGTTCCCGGGGCTCGCCCTGCTTGGCGCCGGGGCCTTGCTGTGGGCCTTTTCTCCGCTAGGGCTGAGGGAGGCCGTGGGGGGCTCTGGGCGGCGCGGAGCCCTGGAGGAGTGGGGAGCGTGCGTCGTCTCAACGACCCGGTGGAGGCGGCCGCTCTTGAGCCTCTTGTTTTCCTCCGGCCAACAGGTCTCTAGGAGAAAACACGCCCACTCCATCTTACTCCCACCGCCCCATTCTACAAAGACCTGGGGGCAAGGGGTTCCTCCCTCCGCATCCCTGGCTGCAGGTCCGGTCTGGATCAAAGCCCTGTAGCTCTAGAGCCTTCCGGAGTAGGCAAAGGCTGCAGAATGGCTTCGGCCTCCCATGACCCAGTCAGCTGGGCCTGGAAAGGGGCATCTAGGTTCGTCTGGAGCCTTCCCTTGGGGGCTTAAGCTTTCTGCACAGATTCTTCCCGGAGTCTGCGCCTCCCTCCTGCCCTAGCCGGTCTCACCCCCAAACTTCCCCACCCGCCCATTGCTCACGCTGCTTTGGGCAGTGCCCACAGGCAGCCTTCCTACTCTCCAGTGACTCACGGTGCAAATCAAAGCGTAGCTCCTTCTTGAGCAGGTCCTGGGAATGCAGCTCGGGGAGCTTTTCCCTGGGAGAACGTGCCAGGAGGGAGGCAGCTGTGTGTACAAACTCCAGGGTCAGAACGGAGAAGAAGGAAGCTCTTAAACTCTGAAGGTAAAGATTTCCCGGAGGAGATACTGAGCTCGGTTTTGAATAATAAAGGACGAGGGAGAGTCCATGCTGAAAGTTATGCAAATAAACTTTATGCAAAGCCATAAGGCATAAAACAACATCCTACGTAAAATGCCAGATGGGGGATCCTAGGAGATGACTCCAAAAGGGCTGGTAAAATCAGAGAAGCCTGAGAAACTCAAGAGTTTTATCTGTGGGAAGTGGGAAGCCAGTGTGAAAAGTTTTAAGCACTGGAGAAAAATAGTGTTAATTTTGTATTTTAGAAAGACCATTCTGTCAGAGGTGTGGCTCCCATCAAACTCAAGGCAGGAAGACCTCAAGAGCCCAGGAGAAGTAAAGGCTGTGGGGATGGAGGCATCACTAGGAGTTGAAGTCTCCATCACACCAAATTAACTTGCCTTGGTGACTGACTAGATGTGAAACATGAGAATGAGAGGCCTCCTCAAAGAATCCAAGATTTCAGATGTGAACAACCAGATAGACAGTGGCACTATTAATCATGGCCTAACCAAAGTAAGAGGCACCCATCTGGGTGTGTGTGCAGAAGGAGGGTATGAGGAGAGAGGAAACTGAGGTACCAACAGGGACCTCCACAGAGAGCTGCCGAAGGAGCAGATCAGTTTCCATCTGGCACTCAGGAGAGGCCTGGGCTGGTCATACCAATTTGGGAATCTGCAGCTGAGAACCAGTGGTCCACAGCTGGGGAGGAAGGGCCAGAGGAAGAACTAGGTGAGTCCTGGTCTTTAACAAATTCTGCAAATGGTTCAGACAAAATGAAGATAAACACACAATATGATATTTAAGAGTCCTTCCCTAATGAGAGTTTCAGAGGCCACAGGGAAAGCAGGTGCCCTGAGTTAGGGAGAGAATGAGGAGGAGAAAGGGTGTGTGCAGCGTGGGCTGGTTTTGTTTTGTTTTTTAATGGTTTTCACTCTTGTAACCCAGGCTGGAGTGCAATGGCACCATCACAGCTCAGTTGTGTTCTCCAACTCCTGGGCTCACACAGTCCTTCTGCCTCAGGCTCCTGCCTCAGCCTCCCTAGTATCTGGAACTGCAGGGATGCACCACTACTCCTGGCTCTGCAGTTTGCTTTTTGAGAACCCTGGTTGAGAAAGGAAGGCGGGGATTGAGGGTAAGTGGAGGAAGTTTAAGGTTATAGGAGATTTTCTTTTAAAGAAATGGGAAAAGAACTCAGAGGAAAGCTGAAGGTACAGAAGTGATAACTGATACAAGCAGGTCCTGAGAAAACTGGGTAATGCTACCCTTAGCCCAGAGGGGACGGGTCCCCATGCTAAAAGTTTCTGCAGTGAGAGGAACACAAGTTGGGTGAGTTTACTGAGAAGAGAAGATGAAGTGTGAATTGGGAGGCTAGGTCAGGAGCATGGGTAGATTTTTTTTTTTTTTTTTTTTTGAGACAGTTTCACTTGGTCACCCTCAGTAGTACCATGGTGTCACAGCTCACAGCAACCTCAAATTCTTTTTGGTTCTTTTTTTTTTTTTTGAGACAGAGTCTCACTTTGTTGCTCTGGGTAGTGCAGTGGCATCAGAGCTCACAGCCACCTCAAACTCCTGGGCTCTGAGCAGTGCCTGTGGCTCAAAGAGTAGGGTGCTGGCCCCATATACCAGAGGTGGCGGGTTCGAACCCAACCCTGGCCAAAAACTACAAAAAAAAAAAAAAAAAAAAACTGGGCTCAAGTGATTCTCCTGCCTCAGCCTCCTTAGTAGCAGGACTACAGGTGCCCACCACAACACCCAGCTAATTTTTTGTTACAGTTGTCGTTATTGGCCCCAGGGCGGGCTCAAAACAACCAACCCTGTTGTATGTGGCTGGCGCCCTACCCACTGAGCCGTGGGCACCGCCAGCAACCTCAAATTCTTGGGCTCAAGTGATTCTCTTACTTCAGCTTACCAAGTAGTTAGGACTACAGGAGCCTGCCACACCAGTTTTAGAGACCAACCTGGGTAGTTTTTTTTTTTTTTTTTTTGAGACAGTCTCACTATGTTGCCCTCATTAGAGTGCTGTGGCATCAACAGCTCACAGCAACCTCAAACTCTTGGGCCTAAGTGATTCTCTTGCCTCAGCCTCCTGAGTAGCTGGGACTATAGGCGCCCTCCACAATGCCTGGCTATTTTTTGGTTGTAGCTGTCGTTTGGCAGGCCTGGGTTGGATTTGAACCCACAGCTCTGGTGTATGTGGCTGGTGCCCTAGCCGCTGAGCTACAGGCGCCAAGCCCGAACTGTGTAGATTTTTAAAAGAACTGAGTCGGGGCTGGGCGCTGTGGCTCACGCCTGCGATCCTAGCACTCTGGAAGGCTGTGGCAGGTGCATTGCCTGAGTTTGAGACCAGCCTGAATGAGAGTTGGAGACCCCATCTCTAAAAAATAGCCAGGCATTGTGGCAGGTACATGTAGTCCCAGCTACTTGGGAGGCTAAGGGCAAGAGAATTGCTTCAGCCCAAGTTTGAGGTTGCTGTGAACTATGGCACCATGGCACTCGTCCAGGGGCAAGAAAGTGAGACTATGTCTCACAAAATAAAAAAATAAAAGAACCAACTAGCCACTGGGAAGACAGGGCCAGAAAGATGAGAGAAAGGACTGGCAGACCACAGGCTAAAGAGAATGGACTATAGGTTGGTGGGGGCATCAACACACAGTCTTTTGTTTTTTTGTTTTTTTTTTTTTTTGAGACAGTCTCATGCTGTCACCCTGGGTAGAGTGCTATGGCATCATAGCTCACAGCAACCTCCAACTTGGGCTCAAGTGATCCTCTTGCCTCAGTTTTTCTATTTTTCATAGAGATGGGGTCTCGCTTTTGCTCAGGCTGGTTTTGAACTCGTGAGCTCAAGCAATCCACCTGCCTCAGCCTCCCAGAGTGCTAGGAATACAGGCGTGAGGCACTGTGCCTGGCCTGACACACAGTCTTTTAGTGATTTTTCTTTAGTAGAGCTGCCCACGTGGGACACAGGCTGGATGCCAATGAGAAGGGCAGGTGTGTAGGACAGGACAGCTCACGCTGTTCCTCAGAGGGTTCCCCCTAGATTTAAGGTTCCTATTGCAGGGTGGAGAAAGTGTGGGCTGTGGAAGCAGCAAGCTGAACCTCAGGTCCTCCTGCCACGTGCTGTGTATGACCTCAGACCCTGGGCTCTCTTGCTTGTGCTGCCCACCCACAAGACCATTATAAGCACTAAATGAGATGAGCCCAACACCTCCACAGGTCCACAGAAGGTGCTGAATTAAATGTTAACTTCTTTCCTTCTGAGGGAAGGTACTTATTCTTTTGTCTCTCCTCACTGCGTAAATAACTAGTTATATGTGGTATGGTATACTTCCAATTTTTTAAATTTCCAAATTAAATTTTAAGAAGTAGGTTCTTTGCTTTATACAAGACTTCACTGCAGGATTCTTTTTAGTAGCAACAGTTAAAATATGGTTCGATGAGAGAACGTTCCAGGAGTACCTCTTAGGCCCAGGCACAGACAGTGTGCAGCATGTTGCAGTTGTGAGCCTGGACAGAGGGGTAAACTAACAAGGAACAGGTGCCTCAGTCACAAGCCCCAACTTCCCTGAAGCCCAGACACTATTTTGTCCAAAGGACTCAGAATCTGTAGGAAGAGATCCCTGTTAATTTGGTCTTTTCCAAAGACAGACCGGAACTGTGCTGCCTGGGTTTGAATTCTGGTTCCGTTATCTACTGGCTGTGGCCTTAGGTAAGTTTGTTGACAGTCCTTAGCCTCCATTTCCTCATCTGTCAAGTAAGAATAATAATAGTAACTGTACCTGAAAGGACTGTTTTGAGAACTAAGAGCATTAATAGATTCTTAAAGTTCAGAATAGGGTCTGGCATTCATGAGTGACTGACCATGAGAGCGGCTGTCACCTGCTGCTGTCAGCCCTGAGAGCTGTTCATGTGTTGCAGGGGCCGGTGTAGAGAAATTACCATCATGTCACACATGCTGATGCTTCCCCATAACATATCAAGGTGGAGGTGGTGCTATGCCTGGGAGCAGCCTCCTCAGAGCCCCCAAAAGAAGTAACCAAAACAGGGAGCTGTGGTCTCAGCACTAATGGTGGAGAGAAGATAGGCAGGAACCTCCTGGATTCATGGCCCAGAATCTGCCTATTATTGCCCCCATGCACCTGCCTATCCTTGTGTAGCTATCTGTAACTGCACAAACTGGATTTGAAACTTCTAGTCATATCATACCATGTTTGAGGAAGGAATGCCCACTGCTGCCCTGGAAGACCCACAGTGGCAGCAAGAGGCAGCCAAACTGCAGAAGAACTTTGTCATAGTAGGAAGTGTAGCGGAGTCCGCTGAAAGCTTGATGTCATGTTTTTTACTTCCCCAGCTTCAGTAGGGCTCACCTGAAAACCTAAAACCTCTGCCAGGCACATGCCTATAATCTAGCACTGTGGGAGGCCAAGGCAGGTGGATTGTTTGAGCTCAGGAGTTGGAGACCAACCTGAGCAAGAGCGAGATTCTATTACTACCAAAAATAGAAAAACTATCCAGGTGTTATGGTGGGCTCCTGTAGTCCCAGCTACTTGGGAGGCTAAGGCAGGAGGACCACTTGAGCCTGAAAGAGTTTGAAGTTGCTGTGATCTATGATGATGCCACTGCACTCTGCCCAGGGCAAAAGAGTGAGGCTCTGTCTTTAAAAAAAGAAAAGAAGGGTGGCGCCTGTGGCTCAAAGAGAGTAGGGCGCTGGCCCCATATACCGGAGGTGGTGGGTTCAAATCCAGCCCCGGCCAAAAACTGCAAAAAGAAAAAAAGAAAAGAAGAGCTAAAACCTCACCAGCACGTGGTGCCGGGTTGCCTTCTTCATATGCGTCCTCAGTGCTTTGGGCTGAATCCTTTTTCTCTGGGGTCTGCTAAAAAAACGAGAAGTCCTAAGTAAGTTTTGCAGATACATGAATGAGCTTCTAGCCAATCTGGAGTGTGCCTGGTGGCTTCACTGACCACTCAGGGTTGTCCTCCCTCACCAGGAACTCCCTCTTAACTTTGTCCTGGCTCATGAATCCCCTCTGAGCCTCGAACTGCCAGGCTTCCCTCTGGGGAGCCTCCTGCAGCTCACTCTGACCACTCCTAGCATATCCCTCCTCTGAACTCCATTCTCTGCCTGTCTCACTTGTCAGGCTCTGAAGTGTGCTTGGCAGTCTGCTGTCTGTTACTCCATGTGCATATGTCCATTTTGTACACTGTAAATCCCTCACAGGGTGTGGCTCATCACACCCTAGTCTCTCCACAGCGGGCCTCTCCCTTACACAGGGTAAATGCTCAACAAGTGACTAAGAAAGTGATACCTGGGAAGCCACAGGGCACTTTCTGTAGTCCTCTGTATCCTTTCAGAGGCCTGCCATGCTAGTTGGTTCAATTTAAACAGAGAAATAGTTACTAAGACTAGAACCCCATCCTTCTAGCCCCTTGTTTGTCTTTTCTTTCTTTAATTAAATTATAGCTGTGTACATTAATGCAATCATGGGGTACAATGTGCTGGTTTTACACACAATCTGAAATGCTTTCATCAAACTGGTCAACAGCCTTCATGGCATTTTCTTGGTTATTGTGTTAAGACATTTACATTCTCCACCTAGTAAATTTCACATGTACCCTAAGATGCACCATAGGTGTGGTCCCACCAATTACTCTCCCTCCACCCCCTTGTTTGTCTTTTCAATAATACATATATACAAAAACAGGTATCCCCTTCATTAAAATTAAAAACCTGTGCTTCAAAGGAGCACTTGACAAAAGTGAAAAATCAACCTACGAGAATGGGAGAAAATATTTGCAAATTATATCTGTTAAGATAATTTTATCCATGGCTCGGTGCCTGAGGCTCAAGCAGCTAAGGCGCCAGCCACATACACCAGAGTTAGCAGGTTCAAATCCAGCCTGGGCCCGCCAAACAACAATGATGGCTGCAACTCAAAAATAGCCAGGCATTGTGG